CTCTAAGAGTTGCTACGCATGGGGTGATTTCAATTTGCTATGGAATGGAGGTCATGACCACCCAGAATTTGTTGTCGACGTCACAGGACAATCCTTTACGCTCATCCCTTTTTCCTCCACCGATGCAGAACGTTCTTCTAGACGTCATGTCCTTCCGCCATATGACACGTTTATTTCTTAATATTAGGCTTAATGTGGATGAATTTGCAAAAATTGATGTTAAGAAATAGTTTCATTACCCAAATGTCAAACACCTCTAGTATTCTTGAACAGCAAGAAATAGTTTTTATTCTAATACAAGAATTTCTAAAAAACAACAGATGGAAACGTTGCCAAACAAGCTCTAAATAATTTTCTTTGCTTCTTAGGCTCAATTTGAAAGGAGTATAAATACAAATTTGTAGAGTACATAGGCTCAGTTTGAAAAGAGTACAAAATAATACAGAATACAAGGTTTTACACTCTATATTTATATTTGTACTCCTTCCAAACTGAGCCTTAGATCTAATGATGATTTAGGTGAAAAGTTCGGTCATACTTGGTTTGACAGTCCCAAATAAGTCCCAATGGTTCTTGAGAGTCAGGTATGCACAGTTATTTTGAATGTATTAAATGGAATATTTCTAATGTGGTATCATTCCACTAAAAATCTCATTGAAATTTATCAATTGTGTCGGCCATTGAATTGGGTAGAGAGAAAAGTGGATATAGCGTAAATTTGGGATAGATTCTTTGGCTGAACAATGTTCCTTTTTTACTAAGCACACAATTGCTCCTTTTCAGTCTTCAAACTTTGATGAAACCCACTATAAATACAATTCATCATTTTTATCATGTTGATAGTGGGTTAGATATTAGGAGTTGAACAATCAAAGCCTTGATCCAGTTTCAGATTAAAGTCGGAGCTACAGTTTGCAAAATCTAGCACAAGAAGGTTGGGTTGGATTGGCCTGGTTGGGCCTATTTTTGTGGTCTTAAATAAATGAAATTTTAGGACAGGAATGTTAAAGTTTTTAAGATGACATGGATTAGCCCAAAGTTATAGAGCAGCCATTTAGGCTTATAGAGAGGGATGTCAATGGGTTAGGTTAAATGGTAAATGGGCTTCATGTTAGGATCAATATATTTGTCTTTAGGGTTGGGTTAGGGTTTTGATTATTCAATTTGAATTAGATTCAGGTTTTGGATGACCCATCCTGTCAGGTCATGATACCTTGACTTCTAACTCTATAGCTTTAAGGCTTAAGATTTATTTATATATTGGTTTTGATTTTTATTGGATAATAGCATATAAGAGCAACTTTTGGGCCCTAATATCCGTAAAAGTAATATTTTTAAAAAAATTTCAAAAATAGAGTAACTTTTGAAAAATAATATCAATAAAGGGCAAAATCATTGTTCATCTTCTTCCTCTTGCAGTCTATTCATCAACACTGCTGCTCACTGCTACCTCCGCCCACCTCCAGCAATGTTGTCGGAGGTGGGCAGAGGTAGAGGCGGTGGTGACGGCGGCGTTGGTGGTTAATTTTTTGCCCAACGCCGCCACCTCCTCCTCCACCTCTAGCAATGTTGCTGGAGGTGGGTGGAGACAGAAGCGGTGGCGGCACTAGTGGGCGGAGGTGGCGATGTTGGGCAGAGAAATAACCACTAGCGCCTCCGCCCACCTCCGGCAACGTTGCCAGAAGCAGAGGCGGAGGTGGGCGAAGTCAAGTAGAGGTAATGCCGGAGGCAGCGTTAGTGAATAGACTACAAGAGGAAGAAGATGAACAGTGATTCTACCCTTTATTGATATTATTTTTCAAAAGTTACCTTATTTTCGAAATTTTTTTTAAAAATATTATTTTTATTGATATTAAGGCCCAAAAGTTAACCTTATATGGTATATTCCCTTTTTTTTTCTTTTGAGATAAATGTTTTAAAATACCCCTGTGACTTGACTTTAGAAGTTGACTAATTTTACAATTACGAAATGACTGATATATTTTTGAAAAAACCCAAAAATACCCTTTCTCTTTTAACCCCAACCTCTGTTGATTTTGTTCAGCTTCAAACTTCATCAGCACCGAACCAATGCCAGTCTTTTTCACGAGGGTTGTGAGAAACTCTACACATGATCTAAATGCCGCTCCCCAAATCGTCAGCCATAACCGTCTGAGAACCACAAATCCAACGTCGTTCTGCTGATACCTCATCATTTACTAGAGAGAAAATATGAATTCAGCATCGTTGTATCTGCGAAAGCTGGAATGCATTATCGTTGTAGAAGATTCGAAACCGCGAGGGGTTCGAGTCTGGTTGGATACTTAGCGGCAGAAGATTCGAAAAGCTGGAAACGCATTCTTCCTCGAAGTGGCTTCATAGGCCCCAGCGGCAGGTTTCATGTCTCAGAGGATTTGGAGTGTCCTCGATGTATCCACTACAATTTCTACCCAAACCAAGGAAGATAAAACATTTCATAAGGAATCTCGAGTCGCATCTGCCTCACCAGCGACAATTTGAAGCGCAAAACCAATAAGCCATCTCTGAAACCGAAGCAGCTTTACCAGTAATTATGTACCCAATGGCAGAGGGTAGTGTTAAATCTTGATTTATTCTCAATGATTCATTTTGAAGCGCAAAGCCAACAAGTCATCACTGTGTCGATTTGAGGACCGTGACCCCAGTTAACTTCCCAACTTGACTTGGATCTCAACATCGAAGAGCTGGTGTAGATCAACGAACCCCTTCTGTCGGAGGAAGGATTAAGTTTTATTTTGAAATTGTTTGATGGCGAAGGTTGTTAATAAATTAATGTGATTTTGGTACTTGGTAGCGGCGTGGTGGTGATGGTGGTATTGGAGGTAACAACGGTGCTTGTGGTACTGAACTTACACCAACGTAACTCTTCTTGCCGTGAGCTGATGGGGTGAAGACGTTGCACTTCAGCCCTCCCAAACATTATGGTTTCTCCAAAACAGCTCAACCAATGCTCCAGGGCCCGTTCAGTTGGTCATCATCGCCACCTCACCCATCGCTGCTGCTGGTTTTCAGAGAGGTTCTGTAACTGCTGCAACTACATCTTTTGCTTTAATTATTTTTGTCTGGACATCAGAAACTATTGATCGCAGCCAAAAATGCTCTCTTAGATATTTGTAGTAACATTAATCTACTAATTTGGTTTCAAATGGAATTAATAATTTTTTAAGAAATCTGCCAAGTTTATTCATTGGGCTGGACTCCTGAAAAGAATTGAATTGTGTAGAATGCTCTAACAAGCTACCATGTGCCTTTTCTATCTTCAATCTGAACTCTTCAGTTGACAAGGATGTGAATTTACCAGTATCAAGGATGTTAAGCGGGCATAAGTGTTATGTATCTTCATGTTAGTATGTTCCAGATGAAAATACTCACCTAATAATCAAACGTGTGTTTTGTGGGAATGTTACTACAGGCCAGAGGCTTTTTGTGTTCGGAACAGCTGATGTATTAAGGTATGTATAAAGATCATGTCCATGAATTCTGATTTGAAGAATTGCGAATGACTTCAAAACAAAACCTGCAAATGCACAAATAACAAAGCTTATAACAAGTAGCAGATCTCCAACATTAAGCATTCTAGATTGTCTAGGCCCATTATTCGGTACAAACTACAAAGTTAGTGAAAACCTGATTATAAACCACTCTGCTAGCTTATTTATTTGATTAGGCGCATTCGGCTGGCCAGTACGGGGCTGACACGTGTCGGTCAGTGGGTGCTAGAAGAGGCCCATTGTGGGGCGCACAGGCTTGTTCTGTGCGGACCAGGCAGGCCCAGTCATGGGGCGCCACATGGCTCCGCCAGATTATCGGGCATAGCCCTCGTACGGCTCGCATCTGGGCCATCCGAGCCCAGCTACCCCCAGACATCTCCGGTTATAAATGCAAGGCACCTCGTACAAGGTAAGGGATCTGGAACCTTTGAGGCTCTTGGTATTCTTCTTACCGAATACTTTATGCTCACTAGTGACCTCATCTTGGTGCTTCTGCACCAAACTTCCTACATGCCTCGTGCGGATACTAACTTGATTGTCGAAGTCCTTGCCTCGGGTCTTCACCCAAGGCCTATGACACTTCCTTCGTTGCAGAGCAAACTCTTCAGACCCCTTCGGATCCCTCGTACACACACACACATGGACGAGTAGCTTTACTTCGACACCATCTCTTCCGAGACCATCCACCTTGGCCACTAGTCCTCGGCCTCTTCCATATCCAAGAAGGTGATCTGCCTCTGCCGCGGCAGACCCCACTGATCCTCAACAAGCTCTTGGCTTCGGCTCCCTGACGTATTCGGAGCCCCGAATCCCTCAATTCAACTCCAGATCTCAGGAGTGAAATTACTGTATTGCCCTCGGCCAATCAGAGCGACAACACTATTCTAGACTTGTAAATCTGAATCGAGGTTTTCCACCGCTGTCTCGGCCGCGGCAGACCCCACCGATCCTCAACAAGCCCTTGCTTCGGCTCCCGGAAGTATTCGGAGCCCCGAATCCCTCAGTTCAACTCCGGATCTCAGGAGTGAAATTACTGTATTGCCCTCGGCCAATCAGATCGACAACACTACTCTAGACTTGTAAATCTGAATCGAGGTTTTCCACCGCTGGCTCTCATAGATCCAGCTACTCACCCTACAATTCAAAAATATCGAATCTTCTTCTTGCTTTTCACCCGGTTCACTCTTCCCTGCCTGCATTTACACTAACAGTACATAGCTCTATAGATCTTGAGCATCCCACCTTTCCTGCACTTGAATTTCGCAGCTTTCCAGAAACCTTCTGAACCAGATTTCTTGACTGGAGGAGCAGAGCATCTAAGCATCATCCAAAAATATTGCAGAACCCAACCCTGTGTTTCCCAGATACCGGAACAACTCAAAGCATTTTGTTCAGGCCGGGTGGTGAATTAAAAAAAAAAAAGCAAGAAACAAAATCAAATACCGAATTAAAAACAGCCCAATAACGATTCAAGAGGCAAGAGAAACAATATATAATAAACTAAAAAGAATTACTTTCAGGAATAAATCAATCCCATTACAATATATAATCAATTACGATGAACACAAAAAGAAATGAACAAAATTGAATTAATATAATCTCATCTGTATCCACACCAATCAAACAGAAGAAAACAAATAAGTAGTCCGGCATATGATCGTGCCGGAGTAATTACAGACACCTCTATCTTTTGCCCGTCTGTCTAAACTTGGAAGGGCCATGGCCAGTCATTCATCCCCTTCTCATGGACCTTGGAATTCCTCTGCATTGAAGAACTACTTCCACCATTTCCTTCAACATAAGAATAGTACCTCAACGCAAATGCCAGAGCTAACACCACCCATTCCAAGCAGAACATCAACACGCAGAGCCCACCCGCCAGTCTCAAGATCACCGCTGCATCTTCTTCCCTAACGTAAGACTTCAGTTCCCCCAAAAAGTCACCGCTTCTGGAAAAGATGAGCACTGACACCGCGCCTTGAAATATGGCTGTAAGGACTGTCGCCACCATGTGGACTGCATACCATTGGTTGGTCCTCGATGAGGCCGCAGTGCAGCCAGAGACCGCCCCTGCTATTGTGAAGATGTGGAGAAGAATGAAGAAGAACCCACATAGAGATGGAACGAGCCGGAGGGAGAGGGTAAGGAAGATACAACTTGAAGCTGCTCCCAAGAGGATGTAGTTGCAGAGAAGGAAGACCTTGTGAGTGTGGTAATGTGATTGACTGTTGGAAGATGACCCATTCTCGATAGCCAACCCCATTGTCGAAATTCGCCTGAATCCTGAAATTGGTAAGTGGCTGAGCGGATGATTGCCGTCGGCAATAGAAGCACCTCGGAAAATGATCAAAGGAGATGCTTTTCAGGCAATAGATTGATGGGTAAAAGGTGGTTTCAGGTGAATTTTTCGGCAATGATTCCCGAGGAAGGGAAGTATGTGGAATGAGAGGCGAAAGATGAGAGAAGAAATAATGTAGGGGGGATTGTAGGGCACGGACAACGGTCGGATTTGGAGCTTTACAGTTTACAGACGGTGGAAATATGACCGTTGATGGGGGAGGGAAACGTTGGCAATTGCAAATGAGTGTAACGGCTAGTTGTTGCCTAGTTCTGCTTTTCTAGAGATGCTGCACACTTTTCTCCTTCAAACGCTGATGTGATTTTACAGCTCTCAAAAGACCAACTAGTGTTTGATTTTAAACTGATGATATTTTACAGTGAACCAGAAAGTGATTCTTCTTGATTTACATTACATCCAAATGCAACTTAAAACAGGAATTCACTTTTGCTAGCACACTGTATTAACGCAAGGCTAAAACAAAAAATTAATACAGTGGTCCTGCATAATACGACCTGTACATCCTATCATAATGTGCCAAGTCAGCATTATACATTTGAAGTTTTAGATGTGTGAACTAATTAACGGATGTTGGGAAAATTTTCGTTTCTTTTGTTTTTTTGTTATTTTTAAATGTTAAAATAAATTAAAACAAAAACGAGAAAAGAAAAAACTAATGGTTTTTAGGGAAGTTATTTGCCTGATCTCTCAAAATAAACTGTATTTCTAATTTACAACAAAGGGAAAATGATAAGATTTGCAGTTTATTTTCACGTTTCCTTTATTCTATCTGCAACTGAGGAAAATCACTTAGACGCCCAGTCACAGTTCCTCTTTCATGATCTGAAATAAATCTACACATGGGCATGGATACGTGAACACCTGAAAGGCCGAAACTCTTCATTTCACTCCATGTGTTCGTTCAATCTCCACGCCTTTGTACAACATTGTTGTTGTTCAATACTTCATTTCGACATCACAACTTGGGAGACAAAGAAAAGCTTGACCAACGGAGTCTCCCATAATGTGTTTCAACCTTGTTGGCTTTTGAGTCTGCTCCGGGCTGTTGTATTTGTCTTAATTTTTCCTTTTTGTAAAAGTCTTATCACAGCAAATTAAACAGAGAATACAACCTCAGAAACCTATACATAGATTTCCCTTCTTGAAAAGAAAATGGAGGAGCTCAAACCTTCATTGAAGAAGAAAGGGTTTTTTTTTTTTTTTATCATTTTTAATTTATTTTAGTATTTAAAAATAAAGAAGTAAAAGAAACATAAGTTTCATAGCATCCGTTAATTAATTTGCACATGTAAAAGTTAAACCGTACAATATTGACGTGGCGGCACATATGCAGAAAAAATGTGGAATGTTGCTGAAAGCTTTTTGCTAGGAAGTTATGAATTCTCTTCGGATCTCCCGTGGGATCGTAGGTATATTTGTATAGTGTAATGATAGTTGGGGCAGGACCCTTCTTCGTTAGGCTGTATCTCTCTCTGACTCCATAAAAATAATGTGAGTTGGACACTTGGGCCAAGAGGGGTAGACTACGCTGCAGATCAACTCTGATTGTATGCCTCCTACCTATTAATAGGTCCAGACGGGAATCAAAATCAATTGAAAATTTGAAATGGATTTTTATTTCCAAGAAAAGGAGAGGGAATGCCATTTTCTTAAATGGGGAGGGAAATGCCATTCCACCAAAAATGAAAATGGGATTCTAATTCCATCCAACCAAATCGTTGGACCATTTCAATTTGGATTTTAAATTCCAACTTCCCACAATTTTTTTAAAATCCCTCCTTTGCCTATGACAAACTATTTTCAACTATAAAAAAAGGGTATGTAATATATAATAATATATTTACATTAAACATTTGCCCGTTGAGGGTAAATAAATATTCATCCTAACAAAGTTTGACAAGGGTAAAAATGGGATAAAAAATGTAAAGCATTCATTAACAAGAGTAATGACTAATGAAAGGGAAAAGGGGGGTTTTAAGTTTGTCAGATAACCTAAGGGATGTTTAAGTAGTCTTTTTCTTCTTCGAATAAAAGAACACGATGTCCGAGTATGTGCCTTCCGAGCGAAATTGTCCATTTTGGGTTAAGAGAAAAGCAGAAGTAGCCGTTATGCTCGTTTGCCAACGTTCCTCTCCATCAACGGTCACATTTCCTTCCCTATTTCTTCTCTTCTCGCCTCTCTCATTCGACATGTCTATCTCCCTTCCTCAGAAATCACTGCCGGAAAATTCACCTGAAAACATCTTCTTCCACCCATCAATCTATTGTCGGAGAAGCATCTCTTTGATCAAATTCCGAGGCACCCCACCCCTATTGCCCACTTGACAATCTCTCTTCACAACTACCCAATTATATCAGAAACCCATTTCAGGATTCAGGCGAATTTCGACAATGGGGTTTGCCATCGACAATGGATCATCTTCCAACAGTCAATCACATTACCACACTCACAAGGTCTTCCTTCTCTGCAACTACATCCTCCTGGGAGCAGCTTCAAGTTGTATCTTCCTTACCCTCTCCCTCCGGCTCATTCCATCTCTATGTGGGTTCTTCTTCATTCTTCTCCACATCTTCACAATAGCAGGGGCGGTCTCTGGCTGCACTGCGGCCTCATCGAGGACCAACCAATGGTATGCAGTCCACATGGTGGCGACAGTCCTTACAGCCATATTTCAAGGCGCGGTGTCAGTGCTCATCTTTTCCAGAAGCGGTGACTTCTTGGGGGAACTGAAGTCTTACGTTAGGGAAGAAGATGCAGTGGTGATCTTGAGACTGGCAGGTGGGCTCTGCGTGTTGATGTTTTGCTTGGAATGGGTGGTGTTAGCTCTGGCATTTGCGTTGAGGTACTATGCTTACGTTGAAGGAGATGGTGAAAGAAGTGCTTCGATGCAGAGGAGCGCCAAGATCCATGATGAGGGCATGAATGACTGGCCATGGCCCTTCCAAGTTTAAGACGAACACTCGTAGATGTGTTTCTTCGGCACGATCGCATGCCGGGCTACGTTATTATTGTTTCTTTTTCCTGAGTTTGATTGGTGTAGAAACAGTCGATATTATATTTGTTCAATTTTATTCATTTCTTTCTGTTTTTATTAATTGTAATTGATTACATAATGGGATTTGATTTAGTCCTGAAAGTAATTCTTTTTAGTTTATTATGGGAGAATTCTAGAGGGGTTAACCACTCAGAAATCTACAGAACGTTCTTCTATATCTAGCCCTTTGGTTCTCTGTCTCAGTCATTTGACTGCGAAGTTGACGGAATGGGCAGCTCGGTCCCCAAAATCACATGTGCAAAAAGAAGCAAGACCAAAAGAGGTGAATTTGAGTAGGAAGTGATTTATTTCTATGTCAAAACTCAAAAGAAATTGTTATGCATTAGAGATGTGCATCCGTTTGTTGTAGTGCATTAATTACCATTGGTGTTTCCACCTGAAACGTTTTGAGTTCATCAATGCAAATTGGTGAGAACTACGTTATTATTTAGTGTTTTATGCAGACTCAGACTCTGACTCTCTTGTGCATTTCTTACATTATCAAGTAACTTTTTACCCTTCTGGTTCTTTTTCTTTTGAGTAATGACAAATTATTTGAAGAATGAGTTATATGAGCCAAAATGATTCTTCCTTTTTTATGTTACATTTTTTAGCTCCAATGATCAATTCTTAGAATGAATAAAATGTTCAACTTTTTCCTCCAGTTGTAAATTGTACTAATTGTGTGATATAGTAGATAGAGAGAGAGAGAGAGAGAGAGAGAGAGAGAGAGAGGTTATCTCTCCTCATTTTCTACCCCCTTCCCATTAGCTGACAAACTTCTTGTAAGAAACGTATCCTTCCCCTAAAACCTCTCCTGACACTATTGCCTCACACTGCTCACTTCTAAGAACCTCAAGAGAGAAAAAACTATTCATCTTTGTTGTAATTGCAGAAGTAGTTAGACCTACACTATTATTTGGGTTTGTTTTTCCACTGTACTCTCACTTTTTATTCTACTACATTCTTAATTGCAGAAACGGCTAGAGAAAATGCAAGTATCTATATCAAACAATGTTTGTTAAATGTCTTCCTCCTCTCTTGAAAAAAAAAAAAAACTCCGGACCTAGACAATATCCATGCTATGTATTTTGAACCATTACATATTCTAAAGCACTAGTAGCAGAGGAGAGAGTCATCTTCTTCATTTCTAAGTAATATTTTTAATGTGACCTATTGCACTCGGTTCAGTTTTGCATCTGTTTATAACTATGCACTCCTACTGATTCAAAATATATACTTGTCTCATTTGCAGCCACTGTAGTGACAAATTTTTGTATCCCGAGAGATGTTACAAAGTTTGCAACACTCTTTCTCATACCTGAATTCTTTCTCATATAAAGTGGAAACCACGTCATGTTGCTTCCCACCAAGCTTTCAAACAAACAATTCCTTCCATCTCCATTCTCTTTAATATAAAGTGGGGGCTACTTTATGTAGCAATGCAAATATGAAGCAAAAAGTAAACTGGAATTTGCACTCAGCTTATTTTCACCCATGCAGATTTATGGAATCCCCATGAATAGGGTCAAACCTTATTCCATCCATGGCATTTACATTTGTTTCAAAAAAGATATTGATCAATTCTGATTCTTTCTTTTTCTGACCGAGATGTATGAATCCATGGATCTATGTGTCTATATAGATCTTGTTCATGACTAGCGCAAATGAAATTTGTACTACAAACAAACTTTGGAAAGAGTACAAGTATAAACATATATAGTGCAAAACAATGCAAAAGCTTGTATTTGCACTATACATATTTGTACTTGTACTCTTAATTTGAGCTTCTTTTTAAGCTTATATCAGTGGGGCTGTAAATGGATCAGATTCAGATCTGATTCACCAGCTGAATTCAATCTAATTATTGAAAACTTGCACCTAAATCTGATCAGATTGTTACCAAAAAAAATCCGATCAAATTATATATAATATTATTTTTATAAAATTACTTTTAAATTCATATATAATATTATATAAAAAATGTTCATACCTTTTAACATAATAAATTTATATATATTAAAACCAATACATATTGTAATATAATCATATTCGAATTTTATTTGGATAGGATAGAGTCAAATTTGAATCCTATATGATTATAATCGGATGCATATTACAAAATCCAAATCCAATCTAATTATAGGAACATATACCATCTGAATCTAAGATAATTGAATTGAATGTCAGATCAGATGGTAGAATTACAGATATCATTGACAGGCTATATAACACATATCTGAACTGCAAATTGTAATGTATGATGCAATGAACAACAAACACAATAGCTAGTGTCAAAACTAATATTTGTATAGGTATAAGGTCTGGGCACATCTTAGTAAAATTAATTTAGGAATTAGCTTGAGCCAAAAAATTAATTTTTGTTTTTAGTTTCCTGTGTAGCTCAGATTTAAGTAATTGCAAATGGGAACTAGATACATTTTAAAAGAATGATAATGTTGTCTTTGCTTTCTTCATCTCTTCCACTTTTGATGTTTATAGTTGTGCCTTTTAGCACTTGATGGTCCATGTTGTTGTTGTCATAGAACCAAGTATATAGTTGGTACAATTAATTCTTTGCAATCTAAATCTGGTGGAGGTGCATGTGAGCTTCAATTTATAAATGAATTGGATCTTGATGAGGTAGTTGATTGTATGTAGGGTCACTCTTTGCCCTGGTCCCATGGTCCATCACTATGTAACAAGAATTGCCACCCTTAGATGAAGTTCATTTTCTGTTGTAAAATCGGAAAAAAAGGGGGAAAGTGATATTAGTAAGTTTACATCCAAAACATGCTAAATTGGACCTGCTGACCACAAGCACAACATATTGTTGATCATGTTCACTCAGTTCCATATTTGAAGTATTGGTGATATATAGGTAGTGTTTGGAATCAATGCCTTTTTCTAAGAGGTGTTTTTTGAGAAAATGGTGTTGCATTGGCAAATTCATCTAGCGCACCAACTGGGCTACCCTCGTTAGGTGAGTGGGTGAATGTGATTAGTAAATATGTTTGTGGTCAGCAGATCCGAACTGACTACTGAGTGAGTTAGGCCGGGGTCAAGGTCAATGTAGGCCCAACCCTAAGACTTGGGCCTAAGGCCCGAGCCCGGACCAAGCCCGATCTGACCAACTCTTTTCCATTCTCTGGTCAGAGAGCTCCGTTGCACCCTCCCGTTGCGAACTTGCGAGGATAATAGACGGTGAACCGAGAGAAGGAAACCCTCTTTCCATTCTCAGAGCTCTGAACAATTATACTCACTGGTTATCCTGACTCTCTCTTGCATTGTAGCAGGGGAAGTGGTTAGCTCTCAAGAAACAATCAATGGTTCAGTTGTTCCTAACCGAACCCTTCGAGACTGAAAATGGAGACGCTGATGCCTTCAGAGACAAATTAGATCTTCTGAAGAAGTTGGAATCCGCTCTATGGTCACTTATCACGTCTGGAAGTCGATCCGAGGCTCGCATGTGGCTCTGCAACACCATATCGTGCATTAATCCCATCTCTCCCCGTCATCAGCGCCAACTATTTATGAAACTGTTGAGCTCTAGGCCTCCAAAACGAGCCCTAGCTTCTCAACTCATCCAGGTGATCTTCGAGAAGAGGCCTCATAAAGCTGCGGACATCATAGCCAAGAAAAGCTACATCCTTGAGAAGTTCTTCCAAGGCAGGTTGCTTTTACCCTTCATGTATTATGTTCTTCTGTCAATATATTCTCTTTTCTGTAATCATATAGTCTGCTTTATGTCGTAACATTGTTTCATTTGGGAAATGGCAATTGCAATTCTGCATTTGTATCTTTAGTGTATGCATTCTTTCAATTTTGTACTACAGCTATCTACTTTTCTTTCTAATGCTCAAATTATATTTTTCGGTCTTCAGAGAACTGAACCTGCCATTAAGTTTTGTTAATGAATGGAAAAGCAGTTCATATGATTAATGTACTGGGTTGAGTGGTGTACCTTTGATTTTAATATAGACAGGTTATCTCAATGGGTTATGGGCTTCTTTTCCTAGATTATTTTCCATTTCTTTCTCTTCTTGACCACCCAAATTGAAAGCAGTGGATGGAATTGTTAGGATAGCATACCCATTTTTCTATGATTTCTTAGTCTTAACCTATCAAATGCCGAATTCAAGTGCCATAAATGTGCACCATATGTAACAATGTGCAGTTAGAAAACTGATTTTGTATACGTTTGGTTCAGTGGGCGTTTATTGAAAAATGCTGCCACATCAGCACCACATAGGTGTTGGTATTTATTGCATATGAAACCACCATTTGGTTTCACCATTTATCAAATAAACACTAGAAAACTGAAACGTTTTGATTTATGTGCATGGGGCATTTGGGGAAATGTCAAATTCATGTTTCACCCAATGCCTGGGCATTTCTTGAAATGAAATGCTGATGTGGTGATTCAAACACCCGTAAAACGTCCAACCAAATAGAAAAAGCAAAAAACGTTTAAAGTAGTGTTTTTCAGATAAACGTTTATCTGAAAAAACGCCTCTCAGGAAACACTCATAGAACCAAACATACGCTTTATGATATACACATTAGGCAGTGGATGCCTTAGTTTCTGCTTTCTACTCTGATATTGTATTATTTAGCAACTGTTAGTTAGCTTTCTTAAATTGGACACGATTACTTCCACTGAGTCCTTGGGTATGCCCTTAGCTCCTTACCCATACTGGGACTGGGCTCCCTTATTCCAGACTTGAGCCATATCTAAATTCTTTTGGAACTTAGAGCTTTATTTGGTCATGTAGTGATGTAGATATGGTTTGATTGCATTAGATGGACCCCACATTTTTACATCATTACTTTAAATTTTGCAGGAAATTCAAAGCGTATATTGCAGTTTTTTGATGTTTTTTCCACTGGTGGTGAATTTGAGCACGGAAAAGGTTCCAGGGCATTGTCCCAGTTTGCTTTTGTGAATCGGGATATTTGCTGGGAGGAGCTTGAGTGGAAAGGAAAACATGGACAATCACCTGCAATGGTTGCTACAAAGCCTCATTATTTTCTTGATTTGGATGTCCAACGAACAGTTGAAAATTTCCTGGAAAATGTGCCTGAATTTTGGTCATCTAATGAGCTTGCTGAATCATTGAAAGGGGGTGAAATTTTTCTCATAGATACCAAGTTCTTTGTGGATCATTTTGTCAGTTTAATGTATGAAGAGGATTCCAAGGAAGTATGGGAAGTCATAAATGTGTTCTTGGAAGAAGAGACATTTTCTGATCTCTGTCACCACTTTCTCATTATCCTTGACGAGCAAGACCTCTTTGCTTTCTTGAACATGATTTGTGGGTTGCTTCCTTCAAGAATGGACCCCAAGGATCTTGTTCACCCTTCTTGTTGGCTTGAGATTATATTGTCTTCGTGTAATGGTCGTGCATCTATTGATGAGTTACTCCTACTAAATGCAATTATTAGTCAAGGCCGACAACTTCTAAGACTCATACGTGATGAGGATGATGAAGAGCAAAAAGGAAAAATCAAGGATCTTGTTTTTGAGATAAGTACAAGTTTGGGCATGACCAATTTTTGGGCCCCACTCATGGAAGAACAATTGAGCATGAAGACAAAAGAAATGATAAAATGGCTTGGGCTTATATCTTGGGTTCTTCACTACAGATTATCAGAAGAATGTGAGACTACTAAATCATGGGAAACACTATTCATTCAGAATGGAATCAGCTTTCGTAAGTCTGAGAAGTATGCCTTGCTACATCCTGAGGGTTTTTCAGATGAAAGTGGGTCTGAATTGGGTGAAAGAGGTTCTGTTAGATCCAGGCGGAAGAAAAAAGCAAAATCTAGAAAGAAAAAGAGGAGAAGGAGCTATGATCATGTTGGCAGCAGTGATAGTGAGCTGGTGGATTTAGATTCTTCACTTGGATGGAGGAGTTTGCAATCTGGGGCTGGAAGTTGGTTTCTTTCTACTGATGATTATTCTTCTGCATGGAGCAGTGTAAGTTTTTTATACAAACATGCACAAGAAGACATATCTTATATGTTTTTTTTTTTTTTTTTCTTTTTATGTATGCATATCTAGATACTATTTTTTTAGTAATAAATAAAAAAAAAATTATTAAAGAAAAGAGAAAGCGGAAACAGGTGACATGATGTCACCCCACAAGAACAATAGTCAAGACCCACATCATTACAACTCTTTACCCTCTTTTAACTACAGGAATTCTTTTCCCAAAATGTACAAAGACAAAGAACAAACCTACAGGTCATACCAAAATATAACCCAGCATAACCCTTTAATAGCTCCAATCTGTTGGAACCTAGCAGGTTTTCACCAGTCAGACCTCCCCTTTAGAGCTTTTTTTTGTTCAACGGATACCTTGATTCCAACTCCCAAAACAACATCCCTGTCATATCTAGGTGTTCAACTTTCTTTTATATGCACCTGTGTATGTATTGTACATCTTATTCAACTTCTTTTTCTTTTCATATTTCTTAATATTCTTTGATATTCTATTAAGTACAGACACTAACACCTTATTACAATCTGCTGTTTTATTTTTCATGTATCATTCATGCTATGGCACTTTCTTACAACAACAAAAAAACATGTAACTTGATTATTCATTTGGAAAACTCATGCACATATTGTATTTAAAGCTTTCGTGATTCCAAGACACTTTCTAGAGCATACAGACTTTCCATATTAAAATTTATATATAAATGCATACGTATTTCATACTTACTTGCATGCCTTTAAATGACCACCTCTATCAATAATTATTAGAGTAAATACAAACTACATAGAAAATCTAGTTGCACTTACCTACTGCTATGGTTGAGTGTGCTGACTTGATCAAAACAGGTTGTTGCATTGTTCCAAGGCTTTGGAGTAATACGGAGAAGAACAGGTGCCAAAAGGAGAATCTAGGGTGTCAAGATGAAAATAGGAAAGAAAAGGCAGAGACGGACAGGCCAGAGGTGTCATTGATTTGCTCAGCAACAGTTCTGAAGGTGGCATTGAGAGCGAATAAGGAAAACTGGGAGAAAAAGATGGTGGTTTCTAAAAAGAAGGTAGATGACTGGAAGGAATTATTAGAAGCAGTAATGGGGAAAGATTCAGGCTAAATAATTGGCTATCCTAATGCCATTTGAGGAGAACAAAGCAGCATGTGTTCAAAAAAATCACAGCTGCCTGTGGAGGAGTGCATGCAGAAGTAAAGAAGGAACAAGAGAACAAAATGAGGTTAAAGTTTTGTTGGAGAGGAATTTTGAACAAGAGGAAATAAAAGAGGTTGTGTTTTCTATGGACAAATGTAAAGCACCTGGGCCGGATGGGTTCACAATGGCCTTTTACCAAGATTGTTGGATATATTAAAAGAGGACTTGCAAGAAGTTTTCAATGAATTCTCCGGGAGAGGAATAATAAATCCATATTTGAATTCAACTTTCATTGCTCTGGTGCCTAAAAAATTTGATGCTTTACATCCTAGAGATTTTAGACCCATTAGCTTGGTGAATAGCTTATATAAAATTGTTAGAATGCTCGAGTCAGGGGTATTTTGGTCATTCTGG